ACGGCCAGCACAGGAGGGATGTGGGGCAGCTGGTCTCTGGTCCCCGGGGACGCGTCCTTCTCCCGCACCCACCACCGCGAGGCACAGAGTGCCCGCATTTCGCCAGGAGTCACACGCAGCAGCCACAGCCCACAGCAGTCTCGCAACCCCTCTCTGCCACGCGTGTCCACCGAGCGAGCCAAGCCCCCGCAGCACAGGGACAGCCTGGCTGGAGCCACCCTGCCCCTGTCAGTGATGGAAACGCTGTCCCTGTGCCGCGTCCCCAGCTCCCGCCAGCCCTGCCCTGCAGGCAGAGCGCTGGGGCTGCGTGCCCAGGGCAAGCACCGCATCCCAGCCGTGGGGTCGCCGCCCCAGAAAGCACGGACCCACTCCCGCCGCCCCCCGGCTCCGCTTCGCCCCCCGCAGCCGTACCTGGCTCCATTGCTCTGCCCCGTGCAGCCGCCGCCAGCAGCAGCCCCGCCACGACCTGCAAGAGGGGCCGCATCTTCCAGGCCCCCCCAGCGCGGGGGTCCCACCCTGCGGGACAGGCAGGGTCGGGTGAGCGGATCCGGGCGGGCAGCCCCCTCCTCTCCCGAGGCACCGGGGAGAAGCAGTGCGAGGTCCCCAGGTCACCGCGAGGGTGGGCGGGCATGGGAGGCAGAGCACGGGGGTCCCTGGGCAGGAATGGGAGGGGGCACGGGATGGGAACACCCCGTTTGGGTGCCGGGAATCCGACCTCTCAGCCAGCGGCAGCCTGGGCAGGGCGCTCGGGGAGGCTAACCGGGGGCGGGGGACGGCGGCGGATCCCAGGGAGGAGGGGGAAGAGTGTCCCGGGACGGGGGCCCCGAACGGCGCCGGGGGCGAGGGTCGCGGTCGGCGAGGTTACCGGCGGTGACGGGGTCCCGCGGCGGAGCCGCCTGCGCTGCGCGGGCCGGGGCAAAGTCCGGGGACAGCGGGCTCAGCGCCGCCGAGCCCCACACCGCGGCCCCATGGCGGCAGGGCCGGGGACGGCTCCGGCTGCGGGCTCGGGACGGCTGCGGCTGCGGGCAGGGCTGGGGCTCGCTCCGGGCTGGCTCCGGCCCCGCTGTGCCGCCGCCTCGGGGGCGCGGGCACTTTGTAGGGACGCGCTCGGGTTACAGCGGCCCCGCCCGGAGCGCTGGGGAGGCGGGAGGGGGGGACGGGGACCGGCCCCGCTTCTCCGGCATCTCTGCAAACCGACCTGCCGCCGAGCTGCACGGGGGAAGCGGGGGGGGAGCACCGGCCTTCCCCCCCCAGCAGCGAGAGGCGGCCCCCGGCCCCTCCATCCCGGCTCCGGCGGTGCAGCCTCCCCTCGCGGGTGGGGCACGCAGGGGGCTGCAAAACACCCGGGGGCTCCCCTGTGCTGTCCTCCAGGCGTGGGGAGCAGCAGATGGGACAGGGGGCAAGGCCACCCCCATTTCCCCCCGATTGCTGGCAGTAGGAGCACTCCAGCCTCAAGCAGGTGTGGTGGCCCAGGCTGGGCGCTGAGCGTTGCTGGGTGCCCAGCAGCCCACACGCTAATTGTGCCATAATTAGTTGTAGCGTTATCGCTGTCAGTGCCATAAAGTGGCTGTGACCCTCATTAGGAGCCCATAACGGAGCGCCATAAAACGTGGCTAAGGTGCGAGCCAGCGTTGGAGTGGCCTAATCCAACCCATAAACACTTTGCCCTCACCTTCCCTATGCTGTTGCCTGGGCTGGGGCAGGCAGACCCCACCATGCCCTGGCCTTGCTCCTCGTTGGGCCATGCAAGACCCCGGGCACTGGGGCAAGCCTGGCCTCAGACACTCTGAGCTGGTGTGATCCCAAAGAACAATGTCCCCTGAGCATCCTGCTGCCATCAAGAGGGGTCAGTGTCCCCGAGCACATGGCCAGGGTCTGGCCCTAGAGCTGCTCTCCTTTCCTGTATCGCTGTCTGCTTCGCCACCTGCTTTCCAGCAAGATCTTCCAGGGCTGAGCCGAGCCCCACACACAGCCTTGCCCATGCCTGGTGTGGATCTTGAGGCCCTGTGAGTGAGGTACACTGTCACTGTCACCCCTCATTTTGTAGGGCCACACTGCGAGTCCTGGGCACAGCCTTGTTCGTGCTCCGCTGTGCCAAACCATCCAGCATGACACGGTTTCACTGTGAGGTCTGGTTGGTGCTACAATCTCCCATAGCACCATGCACCCTGTGCTGCTCCCCATCAGGAGTAGCAGTGTCCCCTTGGGGTGCAGAGGTGCACAGGGGGCCAGCAGCCCCCAGCAGCTGTTCATTCCTGCTGACGCGTGAAGCGGACGAGAACATCAATTTCATGGAGCAGCGGCCGCCCCTGCAGAGTTCACAGCGTGCCGGAAGCACAGAAAAATGTTGGGTTCAGCTCAATTCGAACCAAAACCAAATTAAAACCAGAGAGAAAGAGATGTTCCCAGTACTGGGAACACGAGGGAGAGCTGGGACTCTGGGGAGTCTGTGGGAGCCGCAGTCTGGGATGAACATGGAAAGATTCCCTGTATCCCAGGGCTCCCCAATGCTGAGTGGAAGAAGGGCAAGCAGACCAGTGTGGGCACATTGCCCAGTGTCACACTGAACATCCCCACTGGGCCAGGACAATGCCAGGCACAGGCCAGGGCTTGGTGGGGCTCTGCTGTAGGCGGCTGGGAACTGGTCACCTCCCTGCCGTGGGGCAGTGCAGGGCTGGGGCTGGGCTGCCCGGCTTGATTTATAGCAGCAACTGACGGCAAACAAAAAGCCCTTCACAGCAGCCCAGCCCCACCGCCTGCCACCCGCTGCCGGCAGCACCACAGCGGCCTCTGCCACGCCAGCAGCTCAACAAGGGGGGATTGTGCCAGCACAGCACTCTGCGCTGTGGGTGCACCCCTGCCCCAGCATCCTCCTCTGGTGTCCCTGTGTCCCCCAGCTCATGGGCTGCCCCCATCACTGTGGCACAAGCGATGTGTGACCCCTGGTTACTTAGCTCAGACACAGCAGGGTGCCCAGAGATGAAGTGTGTTCTCAGAACTCCACAGATGGTGCAGAGGGATCCCTCTTGCCCCATGTCCCCTTGGGAGAGACGACGACCCCCTGGCCAGACCCTTGGCCTTGGGTTACGTGTGCGGGGCCCCGCGGCAGCGAGCACGCACAAGGGGCTGGGCGCGGTGTGCTGGGGCTCCATCCTCCCGCCCCTGCCCCTTCCCCCAGGCAGTAAATCATCCCCACTCTCCTCATGAAAGGCCCATGTATGTGCTGCCGGTGCAGGGAGCCTGCCTGGTGCCAACAATATTGCTCTTGGAAGGCAGCCGGAGCTGCGGGAACACAGCCGCCCCTTGTGCCTGGCCCCAGCACTTGCCGCCACTCCCGCTGTGGTGGCACCTGCGGCCAGCCAGAGCCCGCGCAGCACGGTGGCTCCTGTGGGGGCCGGAGCCTGGGGAGCTCTTTCCTCCTGGAAGTTTCTCTTGGCCTCCCCTGAACGGCTCTTGTTTGGGGCACAGAAGCCCCAGCTCACAGTACCCTGTACGTGCATAGGATCTGAGGCTGAGCAGGCTCATTCCGTGGGCTGGGGTGATGTGAACCTTCTGGCACTGAGGGAGTGGGTCAGCCCTGGAGCAAGGGGTGAGCGCCAGCACAAGGGCTTCCAGCTCCATGCAGTCCCACGGGCTTACAGTGGTAGCTTCCAGCCCAACCACAACCTGCTGCCCTCATATCAGTGGGCACCCGCTGAGGAAGGCAGGGGGCAAGCTGGGCAGGCAGGCAGCTGCTCCAGACTGGGCATGGTGCTCTGCAGGGGCTGGGCCCTGCCCTGGAGGCAAGCAGCCAGGTTTGGGGCAGTGCGTCCCACCAGGCCCTGGTATTGCCTGCCCATCCTTATCTCGGCTGGGAGGGACTCATGGAGCAACCCAGCCCGGTTAAGGTTTAACCAGGCAGAACTTGGCAAACATAAACCTGCTGCTCCCTCTGGGGAGCCAAGAATGTGGGGCCCAGTGCAGGGGCTACAGGACAGGGACACCAGGGGCCCAAGCTCCTTCTAGCCTCCAGCATGGCACAGGAGCATCCACAGATCTGGGCAGGGAACATACAAGTTGAGGGTGATATGGCAGGAGGGTGGGCAGTGTCATGCCTTGTCCTGCTGCAGCCCAGCCACCTCTTCCTGCTCTGTGTGGGGAAGTGCTGCGGTCACAGCTGGCACAGGGAACGAGGTGCATGGGGCCAGCATGTGTCCTGCTCCCCATGGGGACATGGCACACACCATGTGCTGGGTTGGGCACCACAGTGCTGATCTATGGGCCAAGAAAGCAGGAGCTTTGCTCACCAGCCCTGTCCCCTGCACAACATTGGGGGCTCAGCCCAGTGAAGCAGCAGCCATGGCAAGGAACTGCAAAGCAAGAACGGGCCATCCCAAACTTCCCAGCCCCTAATTGTAAGCAGGCACCCGGTCCTGACTCCACATCTGCACTTGATTTTCTCAATGGAGCCTGAGGGGCCACGAGGGATGGCAGTGGCTGGGGCTGTGGCCAGGACTGAGCTTCTCCTGGCTGAGGCAAGGACCCTGGGCGTGCTCCTGGAGGAGCAACTGGCTCCACAGAGCTGGCTGTGGCCTGGGCAGGGGATTGTGGTGTTTCTGTGGAGGATGTGGCTGGTGGGTGGCTCTATCCTCTGCCAGCCCAGAAGGCACTGGAGTTCAGACTGGCAAGGCAGCCAGAGCCCTGGCCCAGGGCAGGGAGGAGCAGAGCTGGGTCAACAGCACCAACACCAGGGCACACCTAGGGACAAGGGCCATGCACCATCCTCAGCCTCCCGGCCATGTGGGTGGCTCTGGTCCCACAGCCAGGCTCCAGGTCCCCTCTTGTCATGCCTGGGGGTGCCCATGGGTGCTGGTGTCCCTGGCAGCCCCCCAGAGGGAACAGGGAGAAGGTGACACTACCAGCTTGCTGCCAAACCCTCCTTACACCAGATAGACACTTCCTCTCACACCGCACCCACCTTCACAGGAAGCAATTACACAATGAAAACTACTCTAAGGGAGTGAAGTATTTGCTGTCTAGCAAGTCTCTTCCAGCTGGATCCTTTTCCTGACAGATTCAGTCCCCGTTCTGCTCAACGGGTGTATACAGGAGGGTAGGGCTTTGCTTATCCAGAGGGATAACGAAACCATTGTGGGCTGGCAAAGGATGTGCGTTCTGGGGCCACCAACAACTCCAAGAATAGTGCTGCAACTTGCTCTAGAGGTCTTGGCTGAAGTAACTGTAGCCTCCTGGGCCAGTTGACTCTTCCCGGACATACTGTTGTGGCGGGAACGGTCCGACAACCGGCACTGCTCCTGGCATCCTGCACATTGGAGGGAGCAAGAGAAAGGAAAAAAAGGAGACAATGTCACAAATGCTCTGAAATGTGCCAGCTGCAATCACTGCTCAGCAGGCAAGGCTGTCAGCAGAGCAACAGCCTACTGCAGCCAAGGCAACAACTTGCCAGAAAATCTTCCAAGTGAATCCTTGCTCTCTGTGCCTGTGTGTAAACAGACACCTTTAGCATGGCAGAATTAGCTGTGGCAGAGCTCAAGGACTGCTAAAGAGCTCCCATTACAAAGCAAGCATCCTGCCTCTCTGCAGGCTGCAGAAGCTGGAACAGGACTGCACAGCTGAATCCAGAGCAGCATTCTGAAAGGGAGTTGTGTGGCTGCAACAGCTCTGACAGCAGCAGTGTCCTTAAAGAGAACATTAATGTGTGTGTTGGGAACATGTTATCTCTCTAGAATGGGATACTTCCTATACACTGATCTAACTGTGCTGTTTGAGAGCTGGAACTTCCCTGGGATGAAAGATATCTTCCCATCAAGTACTCCCCAGAGCTCAGGGACTAGGAGGCTGTTATTCCACAGACAGGCAACAAGAGATTCCAGTTTTCTTCCTATCCCTTCTGGGGAATTTGGCTAGGAGCCTGCCCTCCCTTCAGGTAGGATTTCCTAATACTTCTTCCTTTTAAAAAGCTTTCTAACCAACCCAGTCTCATTACCCAGGCTCTTTAAGTGAAGGCTCTTAAATTAAAGATTGGCAGTCTCCAGAACAAGTATTTTTGGTATTAATCATCTGGCAGCATAATTTTTTTCAATTAATAATATATGCAGGGGATGCCATTATTTAACTTGCCAGCTGCAAGAGTGAGTTCAGCAATACAGTCCAGGTTTCTGGAGCGTGCTGACTATATGCCAAATTTTAAAACAAGCAATCCCAAAGGGGATTAGAATTGCAAGCAGATCTCCACTGAGCCAGTCCTTAATTAAATTAAAATCTCAGTTGTTAAGAGAAACTGTGTTTAATAGGTGTCAGGTTCACTGCAAAGGTCTGTGCTGAGCTGAACTATTAGGAACCAAAAGCAACTGGAGGCACTTCTACCTCGGCAGCACGACTGGGCTGTCTGCAGAGGGAGCTCCTGGAGCAGCGTCAGGACACACAGAGAGCCTGCACAGACCCTGCTGCTCTGTTTGGAAGTCAGCTGGAAACACGTGCTCAAAACTGCATTTTAGGTTATATTTAGGCCATCGATTTGAACAGCAAGGCTGGAAACACACTTAGACAAGAACATTACTTACTGATTCTTGTGTTTGAAGCCACTGATGTGAGCTTGGTACTGCTCTATGGAGTTCAGCACTATGTTACATGTGTTGCAGGGGTAGCCCTTCCCAGCTGAAACAGACAGCAATGTTAGCACACACAGAAGCCAATCCCCGTGCCTGAGTTAGAAACAAGCAAGATACTCCATCACCTGATTTATTAAACCCTAAACAAAGACAAATAACAGTCAACAATCTGACCAGGCAGGGAGACCATAGAATCCCACTACCCCACCGTGTATCAGCCAGTTATTGCAAGGGAATCACTAAGCCAAAAAAGCTTTCCTGATCAGAACATGGTTTGTTCATCGCTAAAAAACACACACATGTTCCCTGCAAACAGTTCATAGCATCAGGCATAGTAAAAGTTTCAGATTTGGACCCCAAACCCCAAAGGCTATACTGCCTTTGCAACTCAATTTCTCTCCCATATTCCCACTTCTGCTCATCTGGACAACTCAAAACAGAAAATAAAGAGATACTGAATTTGTAAGCTTAAAACATTTCAATAAAAAAGGCAGCCAGAGGAGATTACACCCACTGTCCAGCTCCACAATGCAGCATTTTGCTAAGCCTTGCTGAGGTGCCAGCTGAGGATATTAAGCTCTGTCCTCAAGCAGTTTGGTTACAGTCAGTGGATCAGTTAACTGCCAGGGAAAAAAAAGTTTCCAACAATAGTGGTACTCGACAGGATCATTGGTTTTGTGTAACATGACAACTCCAGCTGGACTGAAAGTTCAGGAGGTCACAGATACCAAACAGGCAAGTACTGCAGCACAGGAGTCTCTAACAGGGAAAAATCCTGGCAGTTGTCCTCAAGACAGTAAGGGTTCCTAAATTTTGGGTCACTGGGGAAAGGCTCTGGTTGGGATTCTCACAAAGAAAACATTTCCTTAAGGTGAAAGAGGAGATGGACCCCAGGAGTGCAGAGCAGTAAATCATTGGGAAGCTCAACTCTGGATGTAGCAGACACTTTGCCGCGTGGCTGCTGCACCTCAGAAATGTCAGAATCCAGTGGGACACTCAGCTCTCAAAATGGAGCTGGATCTGGGCAGTAAAGGTCAGAGGAGCTGATACAGCCTTCAAGTCTGCTTCCCTGCACCATCAATGTCAAGGTTTCTCTGTTGCAAACCCATCCAACAGGTGCATGAACAAAGTTGTCTAAACTCCACTCCTCAACTCCAAACCACTTTTTCCCAAAGAACTTTAAGCAGGCAACCACCTCAGTGTTGCATTTGCAAAGAACACATCTTTATCTGCTGCAAGTCAGGTCTCAGCAGAGAGTTTAGGGACAACTGTGGCTGTTGGCACAGAGACACAGGCAATGAGAGCAGGACAAAACATCCCTGACTGCAGCTCATCTCATCTGAGAAGCCCCTGATAATAGCCCAGCTCTGAAACCTTTGCTGAAGAGCTGAAGTGCTCTGGAGATGTGACTGTACACACTCTCGTTCTGCTGGCACTTCTTGGGACACATCAATCACACAGGCAAGGGCACTGCCCACCTACCCAGGCAAAAACACTGCCCACCTACCCAGCCTGCCTGGGCTGAGGCTCCTGCCCCTGTCAGCACCTGAGTCACACTCAAGTGGAACCATTCATCAGACCCCACTAATTAGGTGCAGAGCAGATGGGTAACGTGAGATACTGAGCACCTTTTCCATCTCCCACACGGCCACGCAATGTGGGAGAGAACATTACTTGGCTAATTGAGCCTCATTTGTCATAAGTGCTACCGGTATCTAAAGGTGGCCTGCAAAGAATTAGAATAATTAATCTTCTGCTTGTGTGGGTTTTTACGACAGAGAAAGAAGCTCTTGATGAAGATTTTAAGATGATCTGTCTGCTTATTATTTACCTCAAGTATCCAGCAGGTACTAAGACTTCCTGGCCCAACAGAAGGCTGCTGGGAGGAACAAAGGAGTTTTCTGCGAGCGCCTAATGCTTTCACTGGACTCAGAGGACTTTCATCACGTACAAGTGCTCATAAGCAGCAGATCATAAACCAAAAGAGTTTTAACTGTCTGCCTAAAGTTCCTCCTTAATAGCTCTGGGGCTTTTTTTTCCCACATTCCTGCTTGCTCCAGAGAGAGCTGCATTAGTTCATCAGATGGAAGTGCCCACACAGAGGCAGAAAGGCATTCAGGGAGAAATCTTTCTGGCTTTCATGTGCTTTGAAGCAGCAGGTGCAGTTAAACCTATTCCTTCCATCTCTGGCCAGTCCCCTCAAAGACGACTTTTAAGCATCAAATGCCACTTTTATCTTTCCATTTTGGATGCAATCACCTAACTAGAAACAGTACTGGCCAAAATCCCTGGATTATCCGCACAGAGAATAAAAAGGACACGTCCCCGATTAAACAGCACCGCACAACACAACCCAAAGCCGGTCACGAGTAGCTACAGTCTAAAACATCTGCTGCTGGGGGTTACAACATCAACCAAATCAATCTTAGGGTGTATCATCAAGTTCCTCATCACAAGCAATACTCCCCTGCTCCCTCCCCACACACTCTCTTGTCCAAAGGCCTGTCAGACACATTCTGCTCCTCTCCCACCCTGCTCTTCAGCTGGTTATCAGCCTCCCTGTTGAGAACTCACCCATGAAAGATGATGCTGGTGCATCAGGGGTTCGCCCATAGTGTGCCATCAGCTTGTGTTTGGTCTCCTGCTTTCTGTGCTTCTTGCCTACATAGTGCTGTTTTGCCATAAGGGGGTTGTTGAAAGTGGCATGGCAGAGGCTACAGAACTTGTCCGGGTCAGTAATGTCCTTGTTCTCTTCATTAGAAGATGCAGTAGAGGTGGGGAGGGCAGCAGGGTGTTTCTGTGGGGGCACCGTTTCTGTAGGGTGAATCCAAACCCCTGGTCAGTCACAGAACTTACAGGTAAAAACTACTTTATTTCACCCAAACCCACATTAAAACCAGTAACACACTATATCTAAACCCCAAACCTAGCCAATGCAAAATATTTCAATAAATTAATAATTTTGTTACGTCTTCCCTTAATGCTGCAGAATTTAAAGACATGTGGTAACATAACTCAGAGTATGCCAGGAAAACTTTCAGGGTTTAAAAAATCCAACAGATTTGCATATTTCTCCTTAACATAAGCATGACTGTATTCAAGAAACACTGGGTATGAATGAGCTTCCACCTGCTGTTATCATCTCCCAGACAGAACATGGGCACAAGCCCTTGCACAGCAAAGGGATTCTGGAAAGGATTCTGGAAGCACCGTGCAGCCACAGGACCTGATCCTGAATTCATAAGGAGTTTTGTCTTATGAGACACAGCATAAATGGGGCTAGGTCTGACACAGTGAATCCACAGAGGGAAGCAGCTCTTCTGTGTGGTGGAGAAACCTGCACCCTCTCACTCCAGGGTGCCAAACAGCAGAGTGAGTAACCTGCTAGGGATCAGAGAGTTCCTCTCACCAAAGGAACACACCAGACTGCTCAGTGAACATCTTCCTGCAGGCTCCTATCATACCTAAAAGCAAGAGCTCCAAAGAACAAGAAGATCCTGGAGGTGGGCTTTGCTGTGCACACATTTTAGCAAAGTCATGAAGACATGCTGGGACAGACATCTGCCTGGAAGATCCCAGGAGTCGGGAGTCTGGGTGACTCACAAGTCCCCAGCTTGGAATTAGCACGAGCTGCCATTCTCAGGTGCACTCAAGGGCTGTGTTTTCCTTCTGTCCTGGCCAGCTGCAGCCCCCCTGGCCCATGGCCACCCCTGCCTGCCCTGGACAGAGGGTGTTACTCCCCACCCACCAGGCCTTTCTGGCTGCTGGCAAAGGGATGGGACACACAGGCAGTGGTGTGGGGGCACACAAGGTCAGATACAAGCACATACTGATGTGTCCCCAGCTGTATTCTCCCCAGCAATCTGCAGCTCCTGAGTCTGTGAACATCAGAGGCCACAGTGTTGTAGCTGAGCAGCCCTGGGGAATTTGCCATATCAGAGTTTCACCAGTCACTTCAGTCTCTAACATTTAATGAGCATCACACCCTGTGGCAGGCAGTTCTACATCTTAACATCACATCCCTGGTCCCTGCATACAGGGATGGGTACAATGGCTGCTGCCACCTGCATTTCCCCCAAACAAAGCGAAAAAAACCTCACACAACCTCCTGCCAATGCCAGCCCACTGAGCAGGCTGGCACAGCCAGGTCTCTGGAGGTGCACTGCTGGCTTAATCTGTTTCATGGCAAAGAGCACACACTCTTACAAGAGCTCACACTTGGGGCTCAACAAGCATCTCAACACCCCTTTGGGACAACGTGAAGGTGCTGCAGACACTCATACCTTCTGCTTTGGGGGCCTGCTGCTTCATGTTCTTGGCATGAGTCTTGCCCAAGTAGTGAGAAGTTGCCACGGCCGGAGAGGAGAAGGTCATGTTGCAGATGGGACAACACTTGTTCCTGTCCTCCCCATTGCTGCCTTCCTGCTTGCTGTCCTGTGCACAGAGAAACACTGAGCTGCAGAGGCTGGGAAGGACCTCTGCAGGTCATCCCATCCAGCCTCCTGGTTTTGAGGAGAAGCACTACAGTTTGGGGGTATAAAAAAGATCACCAAAGACATCTGGGTGTTAAGTCAATGAAGTGACTAGGCAGAACTTCCATGATGCAGCATCACCCTCTTCCTCCCTGGAGAGTGTTCTTGCACCAGATTGCTGTTTTTAACCTGTTGGCAAACACTCCAGGCAGAGAGGCAGCTCTGGCCTGTTTGGGTTAAGGACAAGGTTAAGCCTGTGGCTGCCGAAATTGGGCCACACAGCCTCGTCCCCTGCAAGGTGTGAACTGAGCAGCACAAACATCACTATCAGCTGGGTCATCTGCAACACAACACCAGCTGAGGAGGGAGCAGCAGGCAGTTCTCAGCCTGACACTATGTGCAAAGGCATCTGCTGTTATCCCCCAGCTCCCTGCAAATGCCAGAGTTGGGGATTACAGCTGAAGCAATCATAAAGTGGAATCTGTTCCCCAAGGGAGTCAAAGGCAGACAGATGGCTCAATGGAACGTGGGGCCTTCACTGACCAACAGGCTCCAGCTACCAGCTGAGGGAACTTAAATAAGTAAAATAAAGAATGCTCTTAGGAGAGAATTCCTGTGGATGATGAACCCGACGTGCTCTGCACGATATACAACGATTCTCCTGACAAGCTTTTGCTCTTGTTCTCTCTCTGTCATTTCAAGCAAGACTATCAAAAAGAGGAACACACATTTGTTTAAATGGGGAGAACAGGCTCAAAGAGGCTGTCTGAGCAGTGAGGGCAGGAGGAGCTGGGACATGGCCTGGTGAAACACCTGCCACTGAGCTTCTCAGTTCTCGCAAAGCCCTTTCTGAGAGCATTTTCCTTGTTCACTTAAAAGGCTGTGCAGCTGCCTTTAGCCCTGCAGGTCCTACAGAACTGTATTTAGCCCTGGTGGATCCTGCACTCACAGAACACAAGGATGGATCAGGCTGGAAGGGACCACAGTGGCCCACCTGGTCCAACCTCTCTGCTCAAGCAGGGTCATCTCAGCACTTTGCACAGGATTATATCCAAACAGTTCTGGAATATCCCCAGTAAGAGGGACTTCACATTTCTGGAATATCCCCATCAGCTCTTCACAGGACTTACCCTCTAGATCTTAAGACACTGTAGGCATTACCTATAGACATTCATCAGCTTTCCTCTCACCTGCTTCACCTCCAGCTTCATCTTCTTCCCGTGGGCACCCTCCTCCCCGCCGTGGATGGACAGGTAGCGTCTCACCTTGTTGGCGTGTTTCTTGCTCTGGGGAAAGCAGAGAAAGCCCCGCTCGGTGCCTGGTCGAGCCCGGGGCTGGGCTGGGGCGGAGGCGAGGGGCTCCCCATTCCTCACCTGATAGTGAGCCAGTCGCTGGGACTCGGAGATGAGCAGGGCGCTGCACACCTTGCACTGCGCCTCGGTGAAAATGTGTCCGTTCTCCCGGATCAGCCGCTCCACTGTGGGGGGAGAGGGGTGAGACACAAAACGGGGGCGTCAGCGGCCCGGTGGGACCCCGCGAGGTGCGGGCCGTCCCTGTTCGGGATGCCCGCACCTCGCAGGATCCAACCGGGCTAGAGGGCACCACGTGGGGCCCGAGCACCCGCCCGCTCCCGGTGCCGCCGCCTCACCCGCCTCTTTGCCCACCAGCGGCCCCGCAGCGTCCCCGTTGCTACCGGCCCCGTCCGCCATGGCCGCCGTCGCCGCCTCACGCTGTTCTCGCGAGAAGCCGCCCGCGCGCCCCCACCGCGCCTAGCAACGGCGGGGCGGATCCCGCGAGAGCACCGCGCCCTCCAAGGGAGGCGGCGGCGGACATGTTGGTTGTGGGCACAGGGGCATTGCGGCAGCCCTGTGCTGGCTCGTTTATGTGGGTGTTTAAGCGACGCAGCGCATCCTTCTCTTGAGGAAGCGGGGTCCGGGTTGATATAAGGGCGAGACCATGAGCACCTTAGAACGATCTATCCGGGCCCGCTGTCCGCCAGCCACGGACATGGCGCTGCCCGCTTCAGCTCCCCGATGACCACGTGAAATGCAGCGAAGCCGCTGCCGCCATCTTGGTTGAGGGCAATGAGGCCTCCGCCGCCAACTTGAGCGCGGGTGCAGGGCCCGCCGACCGGGGCCGGTGCGGGAGACCAGGCGGGGAGGCCGCGGCAACGGGGCGGCCCGGGCCCGGTGAGTACCTTGTGCCCTGCGGGGCATGCCGCTGCTGGGCCCCGGGCGAGCCGCGGGGCTCCCGGGGCTGCCAGGGAAACCCCTTCCCTCGTCCGGGGCCATTCTCCGGTCCCTGCCCCCGGGCTGACCTCCCCCAGGTATGACCTCCGGTCCCCGCCCGCGGCGGCCCGGGACTGGCCCCCAGCGCTGTCCCCTGGGGAAAGGACACCTTGCGTTTCCCTCTAGGGGCACTTCCTCTGTCTTTTGCCTGGAGGGATCTCAGGTGCTGTCCCTGGGGATGCCCTGGAACTCCTCCTGGACCCTCCCCTGGGGAGAGGACCCGAAAACCGGAGCTCTGCCTGGGCCGCATCCGCTGAGATCGAGGTGCTCCTGCCTCTCCTGTTCCTCTTGCCAGGCCCGGCTCCCTCCCCTTTTCCTGGGCATCCTCTGCACGCTCCCTTCCCTTAGGTTTGCCCACCTGTGGCCGATCCCCTTCCCCAGAGCTCACGCCTCTCCCGCCGGGGATCCCCCATGCTTCTCCCCAGCCTGTCGAGTATCCCTGACCCCATCCTTGTAAATTTCCACGCAGTGCCCGAAGGCAGCGGGTAAAGGGAAAGGACCGTGGGTGGGTTCTGGGGCGAGGGTCACTTTCCCTCCATGTACAGGGATGAAAACATTTTCCTCCCCTGCCCTTGGAGGAGGGAGATGCTGCGGGCAGACTCGAGGGCGCTGGAGCAGGGAGCATCTCCCGAGAGCTCAGCAGCCTGTGCGGATGCGCCCGGCCATGCGTGGCCTCTGCAGTGCCTTGTCCCCTCTGTGCAGAGCCAGCTCTTTAAATGGATCAATCCTCTCAACAATTTCTCTCTCCCCGGGGCGCTGCCAGCCCTCGTGTCCTGTTCACGGAGCAGCAGCTGGGCCCTGCGTGCGGGGTCGAGCCGAGGGTCTGGGGATGGTATTTCCATGGAAGCGTGTGGTGCTGACCCGCCTGAGCGCGGGGAGCGTCGTGCCTCTGCTTCCCGAGGTGGGGGGAGTTGTTTACAAAGCGACAGCCTGTGTCTCCAACCACTCAGGAACTCATCCGGGGATGAGAGTCATTCATTTTTTTTGGCTTGGTTTTTTCGAGCATTTTTCAAGCTGTCACAGCTTGGCAGGTCTGTAGCTGCAGTGTCAAGATTTAGAATTATTCTGTCGGTAATTGCTTTCTGATTCATCAAAATGATAGATGAGAGGGAAAATGACAAATAATCACAAGTTGGGGATCTTCAAGGATATCCCTAAAAATGTGACTGGAGAAGCGTGGCATGTGCGAGTTCCTTGTCAGGAGGTCACCTTTGCTGTCAGAGCGTTTACAAAGAAATTCTCTTAAATTCAGAGTTGGAAAAAAATCTGGATAACTGCAAAATGAGTCTGCAGACTGGATTGCAAAGGTAATTTTAGATAATTCAGTCTCTGGCCTTTTTCTCTTTTTTTGCTGGGTCTGAAAGCAGGTATCTTCCCCTCAGGCACTCACAACTATCCTTTCCAAGAGTGCTAAAAGCAAAATATGCTCAACTTTGCTTCCTGAAGAGGAGGTCTGTGCTCTGATGCGTGTTGTCTTCCCTCAGCTACACCAGCTTGTCTAATAAAAGCTATTACTGCTCTCCTACTCACAGCTTCAGACTAGCACAGCTACGAGTGATCTCTTACTTGTCTTGTTCCCTTAGTTACATTTTCAGAGACTCTCTTTGCCACAAGTCCCTTCATTTTCAGAAGCGTTGTGGGAGTTGTGTGGTTACATCTCTTACATCTCCTCTTTTCTCTCCTTTAAATGTTGAAGGTAGGTGACTCATCATAACTTCAGCTGATATTTCTCAGTGATCTCTTATTTAGCACAGAGCACAGAGGAGAAGATGTATCGCAGAGTCAGAGGAGCGATGGTGATAACAGCATGGATTGAGAACAAAAAAAAAAAAAAAAAGAGGCAGCGCAGCAGTTGTTTTTTGCTGTTGCTTTTGTTGTGGGGTAAGAAGGTTTATAGGCTGCCTCTCCAAAGCCTCAGTGATCCTGTGTGGGCCCTTCTGTGCTCCTCATGGCTCATGAGTGAGTGGTTTTCCAAAGATAAGGGAACATTCTCCACCAGCGTGGATGCATTTTGTGGGGGCAGCTCACAGCAGCTGGGTGTGAGGCTTGGGTCATCTCCCTGAGCAGGGAGGGCAAAGAGACCATTTGGAGCAAAAGAGAAAAAAATGGAGAGCATATAGTGAGGATATTCCGACAGCACTGGAGTTCAGCTTAGCTGGAACTGAACAGCTTTGTTTTTCAAGAGCCAGTGCTTCACCAAAAGCCTTGCTTGTTTTTATTTTCCCTTCCTTTAATGGCTCCAAATCCTGACAGAAGGCAGTATTAAATTAGATATTAGGAAGAAATTCTTCCTTGTGGGAGTGGTGAGACACTGGCACAGGTTGTCCAGAGAAGCTGTGGCTTCCCCATCCCTGGAACCAACCAAGGCCAGGCTGGACAGGGCTTGGAGCAACCTGGGCTAGTGGAAGATGTCTTAGAAAGGGTTTGGAATGAAATGATCTTTTAAGGTCCCTTTCAACCCAAACCATTCTATCATTCCTCAACAGACAAACGCTGGAGGACTGCAGAGGTCCTTGCAGTCACTTTGGCGCCGTGACTGCCCATTTGTGCAACCTTCTGCTTTCAGAGGGCTCAGCAAACCTTTGGTGCAAATCATGACTCACCAGGATAATCACCTTTTGTCTCTGGGCGTGTGTGTGCATGTATTTGCAGAAGGAAGGCTGCAGATCGTGGGGAGGGAGCGTGGTTATTCCTCACCTTGCTGCTCGGACTGTAGATGGAGCAATGCACTGCTGTTCTCGGTGCTGATGAGGATTTTGGCCTCCCTTAGTGTTTCTCTGTGCCGTGGCTGTTTGCAATTTTGTGGTGTTACAGAGAAGGGTTTGGCTCTGTCCTGGGTGATGCAGGGTTTCTGTTGCATCTTCTCTGACTCTTATTTTAGATCGCTGCACACATCTGAGCTATTTCAGTGATCTTGAAGGAAGGCAGAGTGATTCTGGAGAAGGACACCGGTCTGGGAACCGGCCAGCTTGACTTGCATTTCCAGCTCTGCTGTTCCCTGATGTGGAACCAGGGGCTTGTTGTTCAACCTTTGTCTGCTCATGTTTAATTGAACTTCAGCAGAGCTGGTCATGCTCAGCCTGCTTTGTAAGGCTCTTTTACATCACAGTTCAAGAAGCACTGAATGTTATTGTTGAGCTACCAGGCAAAGAGCAAGCATAGGCAGGAAAGGGTGATTTAACTCTGTGCCATCCTGCTGTTCTCCTTTACTGAGATCTCTTCCCAATCCTTGCCTCTGAGCTCTTATGCATCCAGACAGCTAATGCTTGCTGTGCATCCCTCTCCATCAGTCTGTGGGCTGCCAAGGGAAGGGATGCTGAAGTACCAGTTTGCATTGTGTGGGCACCTGCTCTCAATTGTTCCGTGCACTCAGGTTTGCACTAATAACAGTCAGCAGGTTGCTCGCTGCTCTCTAAGTGCCTTCGTTAATGCAGATGGTTTGGGCATGTCTGGATGGAGTTCTTCCGGAGGCTGCTGCTGCTCATTGAGAAATCCACACTGCCAGATAAACCTGTTGTCTTGTTTCCAGCCTGCCTGCTGCCATTGTCTGTGTTTTCCCTGTCTGTAGTGCCGGAGCAGCCATGCACTGAGCTGTGCAGACGGCAGGACAGCATCCTTGAACGCACAATGCCTTTCCCCCTGGTTTTGTCAAATACAAAAGCTGACAAAGGGCTGTGCTGTGGTGGTTTCTTGGTCTGGTGTGCAAATGTCAGCTTGATCCACTGCCACAGCCTGGTTTGTTTTGGTCAAGATGTGGGGCTGAGGCGGGGAGGTTGTGTTGGAGGGTGGCAGACCCGCTGTGAAGTGATGCTGTGGAGGAGTTGGCTGATGGGCTTTTAGAGGAAAGCCTCATTGCTCTGGAACAAGGCATTCAGAGTGGCTTTGGTCTGTGTTGCTGTTCCCCTGAAACCCCTTTTTAGCAATCAGCTGTAATAAAGTGTTCTTAACTAGATGAGTGGTGACTGGTGCATGTGGCTCCCAGTAACACTAAATCTACCACGCTTTGTAATAAGGTTTCAATGCCTGGGGTCTTTTGCCTAAAAATAGCAAAAAAAAAAAGTGTTAGGGGAAATCTAAATCAGAAGGAAACAAATGGCTTTTAATCTTTCCCTCTGTTTCAGAGTGAAGGATGCCGAGGAGGAAGAAGCCTGCAGAGGGCCTGGAGTCTCGAGGTCAGGATGGGGAGGAAGAGGATGAAGAGAAGAAGAACTCAGCCAATGCCAGGAAGAAGCGCAGTTTTGTGGATGCATTTATTGTTATATCCGACAGTGATGGAGAGGTCAGTGATAGGTTGGGGTGCCCAGAGCCTGGGCTGGGCCCTGCTGCTGCAGGACAGTGCCAGAGCAGCCCTTGCTGTTGTGCTGGGGTCAGGCTTTGCACAGAGGGTCCTGTGCTGTTCCTTTTCTTACATATGAGATGAATCAAATCCTATTTGA